GTGCCTCGTGACTCAGTTCACCCACGAGAGGGCCAGCTGTGGGATTTCTCCCTGCAACAACAAGCTGTTCATCACCGGCGGCCGAGATGAAAAGAACGAAGTGATTGCAACAGTGCTGTGCTGGGACCCTGAGACCCAGAAGCTGACAGAAGAGTGCGTCCTGCCGCGGGGAGTGTCTCACCACGGGAGCGTTACCCTCAGGAAGTCCTACACACACATCCGCAGGATTGTGCCTGGGGCAGTTTCTGTCTGACTGCAGGAAACTGCACAGGAACTCAATGCCTCGGTGCCCTGTGGCACAGTCTGCAGGGACGCTGTGCAGGTAGCGACGGACGGCGGTGCTGCCGCTAGCGTCACCTGGGGAGTGTCTGTATATATGCTCAGCCCTTGTGTTTTCTCTGTACAGCACGTCCTTAAATTATCTTAATTCCTCCCCTCCAGTCAAAGAAGGCACCAGCTGTAGTTTTCTCCTGCCGAGACTGTAGCTCAGGTCAGACAAAGACATGTGATAGGTAGGTGGGAAACTCAGCTCCCTGCTGCATCTGCCTGAAGTGGCTCAGCCTTTCCTGAAGTGTGTTCAGCTATTTATTGTGATCAGTTGGACTTGCAGCACCTACTAGTGAAAAAGAGAAGATACTTTTGGAATTAAAGCTTTATAACTTTGGTGAAACATAATGTTGTTTCCTCCAAAGCTGTGCTTTTTCTCAGTGATTGGGACATTAGCTTAAGTTAAAACCGGTTTGTTTGTTTGCTTGCTTGAAGACGCTTTGTTAGATTTTCAGCTGTGTGTGATGAAAAAACTCCATCTCAATTTGCAAGTTTTGCTGTCAGTCCCAACGAAAAGACCGGCTGCAAATATAAATGAACTCTAATCTTGTTCCACTGAACATTCACTGTGGTTGTTTTCTAATAAAGCAGACCAAAAGTTGGCTTCCCTTCTGTTCTATTCCGGGCTGGCTGCCGCTGTGTCCGCGGGGCTCTCCTCCCTGCTGCTGCACATAAGCGTGTCCTGATCTGCCCCAGCCCCGCTCCGTCCCCGCTGGATGGCAGTGCTCCACCAGGCTTTTTCTATTGGATTTGGGCTTCCTGGAACGCCAGCGGACGGAACAGCCTGCTGGAAAGAAAAACAGTTCTCGGTACTACAGCCGGCCTGATCCCCGGGACCGTCACATGCTGTACCAAAAGGGGCAAATGTGCAACATGCCAGCAGGGCTGGAGGCTCAAGTCTCGGCATCTGGGTCAGTTGTAGAGAAGGGAAAATAAACACGGAAGAGGTCATGCCTGGGACACTCTGGGAAACTCTTGGCCAAAGGCTGGGAACATATTCTAGTCCCTCCTCCCCTGCCCAGCTGCTGGAAAGAGCAACTCACCATTAAATCAAAAACAGAAAACACTGCACAAAACAAATCTGTGCAAGCAGAGAGTGCTGACTCCCTCCAGCCTCTCTCCTTCTCTCTGCTGTCTCTCCTTTTGCCTGATACAATACTAAAAACAGAACCTCTCATATTAGTGTGAGACAAAAGTAGGGGTTTTCTGCACCCCAGATGCAGAGCTCTCAGGCTGTGCAGGGGCCCAGAGCTGCACAGGGCTGCACTGTGTGACAGCTGTGGCAGTGGGTGTCCCCAGAGGTCCCCCAGTGTCCTTGCCCACAAAGCCTGATAGAAATCCTGCCTCAGCGTACCCCATGCCTCAAAGATCACTCATGTAATCCTAGCTCAGACTGACATTTTTGTGTTCTAATTCTTCCTACAGACCTTCCATCTGCAGCTCTGCTGTCCTTGATCCTCTTCCCTCACGCCCTTCACTCTGCAGGGGCCGCACTTCTCATGATTCCACTGTTCCACGCTGTCCCATCCAGCTCTGCCTCCCAGAGACATGAGGAAATGTCCCTTACATAAATGTCCCTTACATAAACCACTGCAGTGTGTTTTCACGAGGTGGACCAGTCTGGCCTGCCCAGGCTTACTGATTTTCACCCTGCAACACCAGCAGCAAGGCATGTATTTTTTTGCTTGAGAAGAATCACTTCAGAATGCACAATCTGTTGCTCTCCTTAGCAGAGACAGAGCCGAGTCCCTGGTGTCATTTACATGGCTGCAGGCACCCTTGATGCCCAGCACCAGGCCTCCTCCTCCTGCAGTGCACCAGGCTCTGCTGGAAGCTCTGATGCCTTCGTAGCAGCTCAGGGTTGTGGTTTTTTGTCCTTCAGATTTGTTCCTTCCATGCAGATTGCACCTCTCTCATGTCGCAATCCAAAGGACTACTGGAAAAACAAAAGCATTCAGCACCAGTGGTTTCACGAAGATGCCAAAATCACAAGGTTTGTGGAAAAACTGCCAGGGCTGCAGTGCTGTGCCCCCAGAGACAGGGCAGAGCTGCACGCAGCAGAGCCCTTGTTTCAAGCAACCCTGCAATTTCCTTTTCCTGCCACTGCCTTTCCCCCACTGTCACACACACCTACCTCCCAGGGGAATGATCACACATGAATCACAGATGGACCTTTCCACCAGTAATGCCCAGCTCCTAGCTTCCATCTCTCAGCTCCCATCTCCCAGCTCAGCTTGTGGGCTGTGAACCCAGCTGGGAGAGGGATGGCAGTGGTGAGCTTAGTGATGACATCAGCATGAGAAAAGCAGAGAAAAATGAACTGAGGATACATCTTGGGTACACCTTAGAGTCCAGCATACACCTTGAGGTGCAGCACTTGTGCTACTGCAATTTGTTCAGGGGTTACTGCTCCCAGCTGCCAAATCACATGTTAGAGTCGACCGCTCTCCGTTTCACTTAATGTGCTGGGCAGACAGACTGACATCCAAGAAGTTCACTTTGATGACCTCAGGGAGGTCAACAGCAGGGCCGTGGTAAATAGCCTCCACCTGAACTCCCAGAGCTCTCTGGAGACATCCTTACAAGGCTGCTGATCACTGCAAGTGGGGAAGCCTTACTATATTTAAGATGAAACTGAAGACATTTATGAGAATGAAGAATTATAGGAACGTCGTGCTGGTGACCCTGCCCTTGTGACCCCCTCAGGTCTGTGTGGGCAGCTGTGGGAAGTCCCAGATGGTTTGGTGCACCACGTGCTCCTCCCGTGCATGCAGTAACATACTGCTTCTGCACCAAACAGCACGGCAGCAGCCCACATAAGAGCTAATATATAGGTTGTCACTTAGGAAGCCCTGTCTGCCCAGTGTCAAACTACATTCAGAAGCATTAAGAAGATAGCATTGGCTCTCCATGGGGATGCCTTGTCTGGATTGCTGTTCAACCCGATTAATTGCAGCTCAGCTAATTATTCTAGGCAAACCCCCATTCTAGGGAACAAGTCCAGGGAGATGTACAAGGTGACTGTATCCACCTTTCTCAAAGGGCCATTTCCACAGAGCAGCATTTTATTGCTTGGTCTTTATGATATATCACCATATACAGGCTTGGTACGTACATTAAGTTGCTATTATCACCAGTTCACTTCCTCCTGCATTCTGTGTTCTTCTGTGTGATACCAGACTTCCAGCTGCCTCTAAATACACCCATGGGACAGCGGTACAGAACTGGCATTGCAAGTTGGCCTGAGTCTGTCCTGGAGGTTAGCTTTGTGATTAACAGAGGTTAGCAGGAAGATTGAACATGGCTAACCTGCAGCTACACCAGGTCAGCTATGGCCCTACCTTGCTCCATGCTATTAACATAGGTTTTTTCACTACTTAGTCTGAACTTTTACAATATAGAACAAGCTTCCAGCAATAAAGCTTGAAAGGATATTCCACGGAGAACATCCTTTATGTTATTGGTGCTCTTGCCACCAGGCAGAGGTGTAGCAATGTGGCCCAGGACTGAGCCTTGGAGGGTGCATCCTCACGCCTTCCAGCCCTGATCATGTTCTGAAAGCACCTAGCCAAGCACACAGGTGTTGTTCCCTCCCTTACCCGTGTTATGGGAGACCCTCCTCATACGCTGCAACCAAAGTCCTTATACAGACACAGCTGGTGTGGGACAGTGTCTGCAGTACCTTCATCCAAGTGGAACATCATAGCAGCTGTGAGGTCCTACTTTTGTATTGAACACGATTGTGAAGAGGGTTTTTTTCTTCCGGAAAACGAAGTGGTTACTCAGCGATTTAACTTTCCTTCAGTTAAACACACGGGAAGCACAGAGCCATGAGTGAAACAAACATGCAAGATGGTTTATTCACTTGCAACAACTTCAGCTTCAAGATGCTCTCACACAAGGAGGTCCCTTCACAGAACAGCCCCACCACGTCCCTGCACATTCCCACTTCCACAACAGAATGTATCTCCCCTCAGCTGTGCTGACATAGCAGTTTGCAGAACATGCTACAAATCAGATCTCTGGGGTAATCTCGGTTAGACTGAAAACAACATCACTTCTCTTTGGAGGGATATTTTTAGCCTGCAACTCCACAAGCAGCTGATTCAGCTAATGAGGCGGCCACCCAGTGCCCCTCCTTGCCCCCCAAGGCAGCCCAGCTCCATGGGAGCATGTTGTTTGGCAGACGGTCAGGCAGAGCCCGTAAGGCAGACACAGGATAACACAGGGCATGTGGTGCAGCACGGCACTGCGGTCTGCAGAGGCACCTTCCTTCAAATGTTTTATAGAATAGGATGTCAGTTACCAACCTTGCAAGAGTATCTGTCAGGGAAAAAAACAGTGGTTCTGCTCCCAGCACACTTGTTTAAGGATCTTGCTCATGTCAAGAGCTCTAGCTACCCCCTTTGCTTTGCACCATCTAGTTCGCTTCACACCATCTAGTTTTTCATTTTCTATTTTCCAGAAGGGCATCTGCCGCAGGCGGGTGGAAATGACTTTGACTCACTATCTCCTCCAACACCAGAACGAAGGTTGGAACTTCACAGGGCAGCATCTGCTGCAATCCCAGCTGTGATGCGATGAAAGACCTGTGGCCTTCTGACAGAAGCTGAGTGATTGCCACCAGGCTTACACACTGATGAGGCAAGGATGCGGCTGTCTGCTGTGCTGCCTCAGGATGGAGGCAATGGAGCAGGTGACACCAGGTGAAGAGGCTTAATTCTGACAAGGGATCTGAGAGATGCCGAGATCTCTCTGTACCGAAGCCCGTACAGAAAGGGGAACAAAACTTTAGGCAAAATCATCAGGACGTTACAGATCGTCAGAGAGATCCAAATTGATGTCTGCAGTCCAATGACAATGTTAACGTACAAGAATGATTCCACGAACAGAACCAGGAGTGGAGAGAAATAAAAGAAGAACACAGTGTTGTGCATTAAGAATGTCACACTGGCTCTGGAGCAGATGCTCTCCCATATACCTGATCGCCTGGTTTTAAAATAAAGAACACCGTAGCAGCAGAATATTAGGAACAGGAAGAGAAAGATAGCCATAGCAGACATCCAGAAACTGAGTTTCACTGTGTTGGTCCCGCTCAGAATTAGCAATATTATGACCGGGATGGCGCACATCTCCAGGACGCAGGGCACAAAGCTGTGAGTGCTGGATAGCACCAGGAACAAAACCCCAGGGAAAGCCCCAGAACAGACCCATAGCAATGCAATCACTTTCCTTGCTCGCGAAGATGGCAGAATAGCAGTGTAGCGCAGAGGAAACAGAATAGCTATGTACGTGTCCAAAACCATCGCAGCAGCCGTGAACAATCCTCCACAGTAAGCCACGGCCAGTGAAAACAGCTGGAGAATGCAGGCTTCCTTTGGGAGAACTACACGTGCTGCACTGAGAGCAGCTGACAGGGTGTAGAGCAAAAGGTAGAGCAGGTCGCACAGCAGAGCGTTCCCCAGCAGCATGTACCTTGTCTCCTGGCGGATGTTGAACCTAGAGAAGATCACAAACAAGATGGAAGGAATGACGAGGACACCTGCCACGAGGCAGACGATGGGAGGGATTAAAAACATCTTCACGTTTGTATCTGATGTGTTGAGAGTCCATTCCTCCAGCAGATAATATGAAGAAACTTCCAAATCTGAGGAGATGTTGGACTGTCTCTGGAGGGATGCATTCATCCTTGTGACGGACGCACAGAAGATGCTCATTTTCTTAGGATTTTATATGACTGACTTGGAGAAAAGCAAGATCTTCTGAGTGCTGAGCGCTTAGATGGGCAGATGCCCGTGGAAGCAAAAAGACTTCCCAGCCAATTCTGTCTGCTCTTCGACAGCAAGTGGAAGGCGGTGCGACATGGAACCCTGAAAGCAAATTCTGCGGTGCCAAAAAATGATTTTTCCTGAAGCGAAGAGTTACTTTTCTTTCTGCAAAACCCGATGTTTAGTAGAGAATGAACCTTTGTAAGCTTTAAAAAATAGTCTAATCCCTCAGCTAGCTCTCTGATCAGAAATGAGTGGGTTGTTGATTATCATAATCTGAGTTTGAGCTCATAACATTATCACTGAGGCAGATGGGATATTAGCTCAATTCAGCAGATGTGAAATGATACAGAATGACATTCTGAGTGCACCGATGTAGGAGAGTCATAAAGATGACCAAATGATGCTTTGTACCAATTGGTGTTGAACAGCACAATCGATTTGAAGAGATCAATAGAGATGGCTTTCAATCCTGTCGTAAAATTGTATCAGAATGGCTCTCATGAATTAATTGATTCTATTTATGGAGGAGTGAATCAAAGCATCTTATTTATAGACAACAAGCCTTCCCTGTCTCTATTAATGCATACAAATACTGAATTGTCTTCACTGGTTGACTTACAATCTGTAGCTCGTTGGGATGAGCGACGTGCGCAGTCACATGCCAGCATACCCTGCAGCACACCTGGCTTTCCAATGGTCTTTTGGAGACCAATGCTTTACTTGCTGACCAGCACACGTTTGCTGTGCTGCACTGCTTTTACCACCAGATCTCAGAGCCTGGGGTGCAACAAGAGAATGTGAAGGATCTGGGTTGTGGAAAAAGAACTCTATGTTCTCCCAGAAGTGATCTGATCAGAAGCAAAGCTGTTCTTTCTCATAGGCTCAGCATTGGCTAGTAACGTTTTAGTCAGTCAAAAAAGATTATTGATGCAGTCGTTGTACAATGCAAAGTGAGCAACACTGCTGGAGTGTTGTAGAGCAAAGAGTTTACGTGTTGGTACTGCACAGAAAATTTTATACAGAAAAGAGTGGTGGGTTTGAAGTAGATTATAATGGGTTAGGAGTTATAGGTAGGGAGCGACTGGCTGTGTCTCAAACTAGGAAAATTGCAGAGCGTGAGGGCAATGAGCTGGGTCTGAGAGGGACAAAACCAAGGTGAGGAAGATGCTCTAGGCTGCATGACAGAAAATTTGCAATGAGTAAAATGGATGCAGAGAAAGAAAAACTTCCCCAGTAAAGGTGTATGATAGAGTGCTCATTCTGACTTATTTGCTAGGGCTGTTGGTATGCAATTAATGAACTGTAGTGCATGCCTTAAACAAGAATAAGGCCTTCACCTCTCTGATAGTAGTTGCCCTGAATGCCAGCAGTGTCTGCGTATTGTCAGGAAACAAACACAGAAGGACACAGTCTTAGGTCATTTTTTCAAAGCAGTTGAAAGAACAGCATGAGATTTGACTTCTCTGGGTGGCCACATCCCTGGGATAAACAAAGTACTTTCCTGAGCAGGAAGAGGAGAAATGGCCACTGTGCTTCAGGACAAACAGACACTCCTCCCTCCTCCTCCCAGGCCCTGCCAGAGGCAGCACAGGAGCAGCACCAGGCTGCCTGCAGTACACCTCCTTATTATGGATATAGAAATCCCACTTGCTGCCTTGCTGCTCCTCATGTTTCACATCTGTGAGGAAGGACTGATGCATGCACTGTCTCAGAAGAGCCCATGGCGGTGCAGGCAGGGCAAGGAGGAAGGAAGCATGACTGTCACCTGACCAGGCTGCTTCGACGCTGCTCTGCTGTGGTTTAAAGTCTTCTTTGCCATAGCAGCATTGCTCTCTTTCACGACCCACACCTCCTGCAGTCACTTCCCACTCGAAAACCACACCAAGCAGCACACTGCTGCTACAACATCCCATTACAGAGTAAAGGCTTGTCACCTGCCTGCTCTAGGTGCTCTTCTCACCAGCTGTGCAGGGCTATCCTGAAGCATTTTAAGTAATGGTGGGCACCAAAGGACTGCTCTCAGTATTTGAAACATAGTGCTCATGCAAGCCAAGATAGCAGTCAAAATGTAGGCATTGAAACCTGCAGCCCGCCCTACTGCTTTGAAGTTATCTTTAAAAATACCACATGTAAGTTCAGAAAACCCTTCTGGTAGTCCTGACAAGCCCACCAGAACCTCCCAGACTCAGCGCTGTCAAATCCAACTCTTTTGCCAGCTATGACTTTCCTCCTCCTCTCAACCAATATGGATCCTACTGTTGCTGCAGGAGCCGTGGGAACGCAGCTCGCTCCTTACAATGGCATCACTGCATTCATCATTTCCCCAGCACTACCAGCACGCACGAACACTGCCAGCACGCAGCAATTCAGCCTGGCTGTCCATGGGAGGTGGTGCCATCTCAGCTCACAGAAGGACGTGCTGTGCCGTGGACATGCTGCCTTGGAGCGTGCCAAAGCACACAGCAGACAGCTTGTGAAACTCAGTATCTGTCATAAGCCTTCTGCACATTTCATCTCTCTGCACCATGCTGGCATTCATGGAGCCGTGTGTCAGGACTGTTTGACTGGCCGCACCACGTGGAACAAAGGGATAGAAGGAAGAACAACCATCATTTTAAGAGCAGCATTTCAGTGGCTGTGGTGCTTGGGTAGGCAAAACAGAAGGGGGCTCTTCCCTGGCTCAGTCCTGCCTCCACTGAAAAGTATGCGAACAGTGCTGATGTGATGATGTATTTGGCTTCAGGATCCTACCCTGTTCTATCAACAAGCCTTAGCACAGCTAATAGCTTAAGGAGGAAGCAGCAATCAAGCACCCAAACTGTTGAATTATACTGTTCTTGCAAAATGGAGAGGAGAAAACCCAAGAAAACTGAGCATGAACAAATCAGCTCCCACTAAAATTTCAGACTTCTTTTAACAGCCAGTATACCCTGCCTCCCAGCTCCTGGTGTTCTAAAGGTGCCATATGAGCAGGAAGATCCTGGAGGAAATCACAGATATATTGTCCAGCTGCTGGTTAGGATTCAATGTGAACAAACTCACTGTCACCTCAACTGTACACTTTTGGATGATGGAAAAATAAATGCAAAAACAATACTCAGCAATACTCAATACAGGGCTAATGCAGCCAAGCATTGCTGTGTATCATCACTGTAGTTCTATAAATGCATACCTCAAGGACTTGTTTGCTTAGAGTTTTTGAGCTAGCAAGTAGTTACTATTTTCAATCTAGAAATGCTTTCCTGAGGCCTGAAAACCTCCTTGTAGCAGAGTCACTCCTTCCTGTAAGAGATAATTATCACCAGTCTGGTGTTCCAGCTATATTGGGAGGGTAATCAACACTGACATCCTCTCTATCCTCTCTACCACGAGGTTCAAAGCAAAAGAGGCAGCTCTGACAAAGTTTCACCTGTTCTCCATTGATCCCCCTGCAGAGAAATGGCTGCAGGACAATCTGTTATAGCAGTATTGTGCAGAGAACTTCAGTTCTGCTATAGTTATGATACTAAAATGGGAGAATTTACCAAAAGAGTAATTCTTTATCACTCTGAAGAATCCACTTGTGCAGCTGTGAAAGAGTAAGCAGGTATATGATGCAAAGTGTAAGCAAAGGAATGAGCTTGCCAATTGTCCTGCAGTGACTGGAAGCAGGTTTGCATCTGGCAAATGGGAAATAGCCTTCCCACTTAGCCTTCACGCAGGGAGTGCTGCAGCACCTGTGGGACACCCCAGGTTCAAAGCCTGGCTTATCCTGCACTCAGCACTTACCCACCACAGCCTAACGATGGCAATGGATTACTTGCAAGGAGATGGTGAATCTGAAGATCCCTCCAGAGCATATTGAATTTAGACAGCTGCCTCACTGTTGTTGTGCTCAGTGTTTCGTGGTACCAAAGCGGATGGTTCTCCTGCAATTTCCTGTAAATCTGCCCTTAATGCTCTAGTTATTGATTGTTTTTTTTTATGTTCTCTGGTAAACTTGTTGGTGGATGCACTTTCTACGTATCTTGCTGATTCAGACCTATCGTATTATCAACCTCTCTTCTGGCTCTTATTTTACAGTCTGTATTGATTTTCAAACAATAATACGCTTTTAATCACTTTACTCATTTCTGCTTCAGCCAGTATCCCAGTGAAAGCTTAGCTCTCTTATCTGCTGAGTTTGGGAGATCTAAGAAGGCATGCATTCAGTCATACTGAGCACTGTAAATCCAACAAGGACTGTACTTTATCATAGTCTGATACTGAGTATAAACAGATATTGTTAAACTGAACAGAGAAGGTCAGAACTATTGCTGTCTTATAGTAGCTGCTGTGGGCTTCACTGTGCACACAAAGGAAAGCTTCCTATTTCATGCAGAATTCAGTCTAACCGACTCACCAGGACTGAAACCCTACTGCTGCCATGGCCATACTTGTGCCGGAAAGGGAAGCTGACCACAGCAATGCTAGGGTTTCCCCATCCCTGCATCCCAGGAGTCTGTCTTATGAGAGGAATTCTGTGACCACATTGCACGCCCATGTTTGCCTCTGGGATTCCTGAGTGCCGCCAGGTAGCCAGGCTGGATGCTGACAAGGCTGCTGGCTCCAGCATCATGTGCTGGGTCCTGGTCTGAGAAATGATGCCGTGCTTTGTGTCTGCCCCAGTGACCGATCTGCCTGGCTGCGAGCCCAGGGACAGCAGCACAGAAAGGCCTTTGGTCAGCCTTGGCTTCATCCAACTAAATCAACATTTTCACTGCTCTGCTGTTTCATGGTGATCTTTCCAGCCAGGTTTAGTAACAGAACTTTGACCTCGGGAGTCTCCATGTGCTGCACCAGTTCCTTTGGTTTCCTCCCCTAATGCCCCATTCTGGGCTTAGTGAGGGCTGGAGAAGCCCTCTGTGCTACAAAGAGCTGAATGCCATGAGCAGCCCAGCTCCTGCCAGCAGGAAGGGACCTACCAGCTGTAATTGTGTCCTGTCCGTGTCCATATTCTCTGTGTGAGGAAATGAGCAGCTGCCGGCACCAGAATAGATTACCTACACTGTATTTCTGATTGGGTTTTTTAATTGTCTCCTCGTTCTAATAGGAAGTCAGTTAAAAGACAACTTTTTTATAAACCTCCAATATTTCCTATTAGCTTTTCTGCAAGTCTTCTACGTCAGGACCCCAGCTGGAGCCATACAGCCTGACTGCCCCAGCCTGATTTCCAGCTATCTCTGTGCCTCAGCTATTTGTCTCCACTTGTCTCCAGAATTATTGAAAGCTATTCCATCCTTGCCTGGTATTTGCTATAGATAAGATGCACACGCACTGCCCTTGTAACTGTACAAAGTTCACAAATCTAGCTTGTCACTTAATAGAGGTAAGGAAGTAAAGGAACAAGTGTGAGAACTAAAATCAGATTACAGTGATTTTAAAGGTCAAGTGAAAGACAAAACAGGAGAAGAAAATAGGGATTAGAAAGTGCTTTGAAGAATTTTAATGAGTTTCCCAAAGAAAACAGAGGGCATTGAGAGGCTGAGAAGAAGAGTGAGGCTAAATCACTGTTTCTGATTCCAAATACCATCACCTTTGTGATCACAAAGCCAAGACAAAGTTTGTACCAAACTTGCTTTTCAGGTGCAATATTGAGAAGTAAGCTGGGTGTCAAAAGAACAGGATTTTGGAACGTATGACCAATGTGTCAACAAAAGGCTAAATGAATTACACAACCTGAGAAAAAGAAATGCTGTGAGGTCCCAAGTGCCACCTGCTCTCCCCCAGGAGAGAAGCATCCTGCACTGATGGCTAGATTGAAGGATCTCTCCTGTGTGCCTTTTTTCAGCCACACATTTACAAAACAGCATCAACAGCTTTCTTAATAAGGCCTGTTTTTAAAAGACAAGTCCACTTTCTTAAAGGTTGTTTAATTCACAGAGAGGAACTTTTACCAGTCTAATAATTCTAAACGAATTTCAAACTGTATATAACATTGATGCAAATGGGAGTTACTTACATAAACATACGACCTTAGGTAAGAACATTACCACAGTTCTCTAACCTGAGGATTTATCAGATATCAGATAACTCCATGTTCAAGATCACATGCAGTTATGAGCAGAACTAGAAATACGTCTGAATTTGTGGCTCCTTGACTCCTCATCCAGGTCAGGGAGAAAGCTCCTTCTTCTTGGAGA